CGAGAGACCAGAGGACAGTGAGTGAACAGAGGACAGCGCATGATGGGGGGGACGCTGAGAGATCGAGGGACTGTGAGTGAATGGAGGATACCGAGAGATCGGGAGACAGCACTAGATCAGGGGACAGCGAGAGATCGGGGGACAGCGTGTTATCAGAGGACAGCATGAGATTGGGGGACAGTGAGCGATCAGGGGACAGCGCGAGATTGGAGGCCAGCACGTAACAGCATGTGATCGGAGGACAGTGTGTGATCCGAGGACAGTGTGTCGTGATCGGAGGACAGAGTGAGATCAGGGGACAGTGTGTGAACAGAGGACAGCACGTGATGGGGGGATGCCGAGAGAGCGAGGGACCGTGAGTGAATGGAAGATAGCGAGAGATTGGGAGACAGCACCAGATCAGGGGACAGCGCGTGATCGGAGGACAGCGAGAGATCGGGGACAGTGTGTGAACAGAGGACAGTGTGTGATTGGGGGACAGTGAGAGATTGGGAGACAGCATGAGATTGGGGGACAGTAAGAGATCAGGGGACAGCGAGTGAACGGGGACAGTGCGAGATTGGAGGCCAGCACGTAACAGCACATGATCGGAGGACAGCGTGAGATTGAGGACAGTGCATCGTGATCTGAGGACAGTGTGTCGTGATCGGAGGACAGTGCGTCGTATCTGAGGACAGTGCATCGTGATCGGAGGACAGCGTATTGTGATCGGAGGGCAGCAGGAGATCCCGTCTCCCTTCAGCCTCAGCAGTCCCGTGATGTCACGGCTCTGTGGCTGGATGCAATGTCAGCAGCACACAAGGACTTACGTTGCCTAGCACATCACAGAGTGAAACAGAGTAACAGACAGGGGTTGGGCTTGCAAAGGCAGAATGAAGACAGACAAGCAAACACCGGCTCTCACCAAGCGGAGGCCCTGAATGTGCTCACAGGGCCGTAAAATCTTTCTCCACTGCAAGTCTGCGTCTGGACTGCGTCACCATCTGTCCCTGGGCCTTTCTTTGGGAAACCAGAGGTGATGATTGATTGCAGGTCCACGAGGTGTTCCCAGGACGGGGTATGCCCCTGTTCTAAAGCCCCTGACTCCTTTTTATGTATTATCTGTTGTCTTCAAAATGAACCAATGAGGAGAGATACAATTCTTCCCATTTTTCAGGCAAGGAAACTGAGACCCAGGCTAGGGGTCCTGCCAAGACCTCAGAGCCAGTATCTATCCATGACTGTTTGCTTTAAAGATTTTACATCTCACACTTTGAAACTCAGTTTGCTTAAGAAGAATTACCAGGAAAAAGGTTCTCAGTGTTGGGAGCCTAGACCTCCAGGGCGATTCAGTGCCCTGACTTCCAGCAAAGCTTTACGTTCACCGTGGATGGTCAGTTTTCATTTCTGCCTGGAGTTTACATTTGCTGGATTTTCTCTGAAGTCCAGGTGCAGGGCTGTTTGTTTTCAAGGCTCCCCTCCCCGGCCCTTCTCATGAGGCCGCCCTGCTGTGCTGTGTGCGGAGGATATTCCTTGCTCACTAACTAGAGTTGTTACTGTCTAAATAATTGTTTTGCTTTTTCTAGAAGTGTTTTGCTCCACAAATACGTTTATTTGGATATGGAAATATTTATAAAATGGTAAAGAAAGTGAGAATTTTTTCGTTTTGTTTTAGGTAGGGTAATTTGCTGCATTGAGGTAATCCGGGGTTGGTGTGATACTGAACCTTGTGCCACTGGGGGGAGGGGGGGTGTCAAATGCCATAACGGCTGCCCATGGTGGACAGTGTTGGTGGAGCTCCCACCTTAAGACAGGTTTGGAAGCAGGAATGGCATCCACTTCTTAAACCACATGCCTCTGGAAACCCTATGAACTAGGGAGGAATGACGATAGTCAAAGAAAGGCTTCAGGCCTTTTGTTCACAGGGTTGCTATGAGTTGTGCTCGACTTGAAGGCAATCAACAAGAACTGTTTCCTCGTTCACAAATCTTCATGCAATGCTAGAACCAAGTTAAGTTTTATTCATCTAGGGAAGAAATTTGCGAGGAGCTAGAGTCAGAAAATCAAAAGGGCCGGACTCGCTCAGCATTTCTTAAGCTCAAGGAACTGAAGAACAGATTCAAACCTAGAGTTGCTGT